GGAGCTCAAAAGTTGCTCAGAAAAGGCCTCCTTCTTATGTCACCTTGTTAACTTGAGGGGATGGAGCCCAGGGCCCAGGGTCAGCCTGTCCAGTGGGGGAGGGCAGGCCAGCACTTGGGTAAAAGGGATCACAGAGATGCATGTGGTGGCAGAGACACCCCCCCCCCCCGCCACTGTCCTTGCTTCCTGCCCTGAGCCCGTGTCCCCCAGGTCCTCCTGCCATGCATGTGTCCAGTACAGTGATGGAGTGTACCAATTGATGAGGGACTCGGGGTTCCCAGGGGACACAGAAAGCATCCCATTTCAAGGACTTCTAAGGATGGGGGTCCTATGCACAGCTGTGATCTGAGAGGGACTATTGGGGGTTGGGGGAAACTTCCCAGCATCTTTGAGTCATCAGAAGTCTCTGGGCTACTAGGTGTGAAGAAGGATGATAGAGGGTTAAATGCAGGAAGTGGATTCGCACCCACAGAGGGATGTGTCACTTCATCCAACTGTCTCACCAGTTGCCAGATTTATGTTCCCACCCAGTCATGCCACAACAGTGGGGTGGGGAGGAGAGGGGTGGCCTCCCCACCTGACCACGTGCTCTTCCTGGGCCTACAGCAGTAGCCATCAGCGAGGGGGTGACTGTAGTCCTCGCTGACCGCAGGGTTTGGTTCCGTCTCCTGTAACCCAGAGGAAAGGAGTCTTGGAAGGACCAGCCCCCGCTTCTCTCTTCCTCAGGAGTTCCTTCCTGCCTAAGAGTCTGGTGGGGCTTGGAGGTTGGGGGTCTTAGGGCCTGGGGGCTGGAACCCTGGCAGGGTTGAGTACCCAACCACATCAGAGAGACCTCAGCTGTGTGGTCAGAAGAGAGACTTTGCTGGATGAAGTGAGCACCTGGTTGGCAGCTGAAAGCTCTCACTAGAGGAGGAAGCAGAGAAAACCACACGAGGGCCTGGGCTTGTCCTCTGCGGACAGGGCTGCACCTGGGCCCTCCAAGGGGGGAAACACCGCAGCTTCCTGCCTCTTCTACCAGGGAGTCGTTGTTGTCATCATCTCATCATTGTTGTCCTCCTCCTCCTCCTCCTCCTCTTCTTCCTCCCCCCCCCCCCCAGCAAGTGCCTGGGGCCAATCCCACAGAATCTTCCAGCACAGGGGTCTTGCTGTGAACTCCAAGGTGTGCCTCAGGTTTTTTTTTTGGGGGGGGGGGTTGTTTTGCTTTGCTTTGTTTGGCTTTTTGGGTCACACCCAGCGATGCACAGGGGTTACTCCTGGCTCTGCACTCAGGAATTATTCCTGGCGGTGCTCAGGGGACCATATGGGATGCTGGGAATCGAACCCAGGTTGGCTGCGTGCAAGGCAAACGCCCTACCCACTGTGCTATCACTCCAGCCCGTGCCTCAGTTTTTAGGTCTGTCATGGGGAAGGGTTGCCGAGCCTGTCAGGGTATATTGAGGAGTGGTGGGGCAGCAAGCACAGCATGGCAGACCCTAGTGACAGGTGACACAGATATAGCCTCATGTCCAGACTCAAATGAGCAGGTGAGGTCCCGGGCCCCTCACAGCAGCTATGCATTCTCATGCCTTCCAGGTTCTCTCCCAGGAGTCAGCCAAGGGACTAAACTTTCTTTGAAATGTGCATGATTTGGGAGCCAGAGATAGTGCCGGGGAAAGGTATTTCACTGCACTATACAAAAGAGCAACCCAGGTATGGTTCAAAATCCTTCCAAAATGAGCAAGATTTAGACTGCTGAGTGACCCCTTTCTGCGCAGACACGGAAGCAGCAGCCCGTATGGTTTGGGTCCCTGCAGGTCCCTCACTGGCAGTCACCTGCCACCAACACCACTGGAACAACACCCTTGCTGCTGCTGTGGGCCCACTCTTTTTCACAAGGAAGAGACCCTACTCTAAGCAGCACTCCCGGGGTGCCTGCCCCCCACTTGCTCACTCCTCACCCCAGGAAAGGGGAGTGAGCTGGCCTGGCAGACTGGGGAGAAAGCACAGTACTCGCTGCCCGCCTGGCTCTCCCGCTCACAGCAGCAGCCGCGCCCCACTGCCCCCCACACCAGGGGACCTGAACCCTGCGTCAGATTTGGGGCAGCATGACTGACAGACCGACCCTCAACACCCTCCCAAGTAGATTTATTCGCTGGGAAGCGGATCCCACGTGCCTTTCCCCTCGTACCTAATGGAAGCCTGGAGGAAGGAATGCTGAACCTCAAACCCAAACACAGTCAGATCTTCCCATGCAGAAGGTCACTAGCAGGTCTCTCCTCAAACCGTCCTCAGGTGAACCTGGGATGTGGCACCAGTGTAGAAAGCAATCCTGGGACGTGTGGGGCTTGAGTTTCATCCCGGGCATTGCATGCACCCCTGCCCTGAGCACTCAGAGTGTTCCATATAAGAAAAGTCCCAGGAGAGAGAGAGAGAGAGAGAGAGAGAGAGAGAGAGAGAGAGAGAGCAGTGGGCTGAGCTGATGCTTTGCCTGCATGAGACCCTGGGCTCCTCTAGCTTCAGCTTCATGTTCCCTGAGCATAGCCAGGAGCCAGCCCTGAGCACAGAGCAGGGAGTACCCTAACACCCCTCCCCCCAAATAGAAACAAATGTCCTCAGTTCCTTTGGTCATGCTTCATCCCCAGGGCCTGCAGACTTCTCTGCCTAGGGGCCCTCTAAACATGGTCCTGGACTAGCCACGGTGTGGAGGATGCCTTCCCGGAGCTGACCCTTCCTGCTCCGTCAGACACTGCTGAAGGCACAGCCACTGAGGCAGTAGTGACTATTCTGTGAGAATTGGCACTAGACCCAGCACCTTCCACCAGCGAAGCCAATTTGTTGTTTGTTTGGGGCCACACCTGGCAGTGCTCCCTGGGGTCCCAAGGGTGGAAAATGAATGCAAAGTCTGTGCTCAGTTTTGTTAGCATGCTCTCTCTCTCTCTCTCTCTCTCTCTCTCTGTCTCTGCATAGGGGAAGGTGATTTTTAAACCTCTTCTGATAAACCACATCTTGTCAGTTTCTCCTAGATACATGCAGATGTGTCTACAAGGGCCAGGGGCATGGGACGCCGTTCATAAAACTTCCCTCTCAGCCACCACTCACTTCCAATTTCAGTACTCCCCTATTCTAGTTACACAAGAGGAACTACTTAGCAACTTACTGACAAGGCTTCTAAAAGTATTCCACTAGGAGTGGAACCTCTGAAGTCAGACCTCCAAAATTCAAATTTCAACTCTACCGTTGATTAGCTGTGTGACTTTGAGCAGATTAGCTAGTCTCTCTGAGCTTTGGCTTCCTCTGTATCTCAGCGAAAGCAATAATACCTTCAAAGGACCAAGGCTGGTGTCCAGTGTAGCACACTTATATATTTTATAGTTACAAGCTAGTCATAGTAATAACAGCCTTGCTAGTATTACTGGCTCTGTCGCCACTTCAGCAAAGCCTTCTGAAGAGAAGAGAAGCCGCCCAATTAAGGAGGATTGTAGCCCTTCAGGGTCGAAGGCTGAGGGATGGAGATTTCAAGTCACACTAAGTCAGGGAGTTCTGCAAAGGTCAGCTCGGAAGAGGCAGATACGAGAGTCTTGTGCGGGGTGGGTGTGAAGGGCTGACGCATTTGGGTTGAACTGGAACAGCGGAGGGGGCCCAGGCTGTGGGTCAGGCCCCTTGGCCTCCAAGACCCTCCCGTCTGCAGAGAGAGAGAGGAGGAGCAGGCATAGAGAGGGCTGTGGGGTGGGTGGAGTGAAAAGGTTCATGGGCAATAAAAATGATCACAGGGACATTGGGGCTCCACAGAGTCACCAACGGGACAGTCTTGCTATTCTGCAGCCATGGGACAGGAAACAGCTGGATGTGAGGCCCTGGGGGTGGCAGAACAGCAGGTGAGCAGAGGGCACTGGGCTGCCCCACTGCCCAGCACTGAATGGTCGGAGAAAGGGCCTGCCCTGGGAGGGGAGGGGAGAGCACCAAGGTGCCCGTAAGGGTTGCTTGCCCCTAAGAGGCTGGGCACCGTGACAGTCTCAGTGCCTGAGGGCAGATGGGAGATTCAGGTCCATGATGTTAGAACCCACCTTCTTAAACAAAACGCTTTGAAGGGGTCAGGGAGCCAGAGAGAGAGCACAGCGGGTAGAAGGGCGATCATCTTGCACAAGGACAACCTGGGTTTGATTCCTAGCATCTCATATGGTCCCCCCGCCCCCCCCCCCCCCCACACACACACAAAGGCTACCAGGAGTGGTTCCTGAGCGCAGAGCCAGGAGTAAGCCCTGAGTATTGCCAGGTGTGGCCCAAAAACAAACAAACAAAAAAAGGGAGGGGGTGGTGAGGGTTGTTGTTCAGTGGCAGACACCCAGCTCAGGTGTGTGGAGCCCTGAGTGACCTACACACACACACACAAACACACAAACACACACACCTCCTCTGTGTCTCTCTAGGCTGTCACCCCTGAGGTGCCGGGCATTCACAGGGCTCCCCCCAGCAGACCTCTAAGAACCTGGGGGTCTTCATTGGCTGGGACACTGACTAAACGCAGAAGGGTGCAACCACGGCAGGGGAGAAGTGAGACGAGACCTTGAGGGGCGTGAGCAGATGCCAACAAGGGTCTGCCGCAGACCAGACCAGACCAGATCCCACGACGCCTGGCACACGGACGGGCTGGCGCGTGCTGGGTAAACCGAGGCAGCAAACCTCGAGATTCTGAAGTCATGCAAGGAAAAGTGAAGTCCCTTCAACAGCACAATCCATTTAAGGCGAAAACAGAAACAGGTCCCACATTGGAACACCGTCACCATCCCACGCAGGGACACGGTTCCAAGGATAGGCGGGAGGCAGAGGGGTCTGACCCACCCCAGCCCCTCTTTAGGAACTTAGACTGGGGGTCTGGCCGCCTCTCGGTAAGCTGTTATTTACGCGGAAGAAAGAGGGAACGGGACGCGGACGGAGAGGGACTTGGACAGGACTTGTCCTGGCGCGAAAATCAGCTCCACCGGCGGCTGGCTGGGCGGGGGGTGGACCGTTGCAGAGGCGGCCTCAGTGGGCCTGGCCGCTCCGGGGCGAGCCCCTGGCCAGCAGCGCGCACTCCAGCCGCTGGCAGTGCTCCCGCAGCTGCTTCTCGCGTGGCAGCAGGAAGGTGAGCACCTTGTTGCGCACCACGCCGCGGTCCTCCTCCTCCCGCAGCCGCTGCTTGACGCGCGCCGCCTGCTCGCGCTGCTGCGCCAGGGCCCCGCTCATCTGGCAGAAGGCCTCCTCCAGGGCGCGGATGGCCGCCAGCGCCTCCTTCTTGAAGTCCTCCAGCTCCCGCTGCACGCCCGCCACCTTCTGCGGCAGCACCTCCAGGTCGGCGGGCAGCGGTGGGCAGCCCGGCCACGACGCGGGGATGGAGAAGTCCCCCGACTGCAGGCCGCTCTCCACCATCTTCTTCCCCTGGAGGGTGTTCACCTTCATGAGGATGGAGCTGGCCGGGTAGCAGGGCTCCATCGGCCCTGCCCAGCTTCCGCAACCCGGGAACAGTGACCAGCAGGTCACTTTGCTTTTATTTCCTCCACCCCTTTTTAAAAAATTATTTCTTGGACTAGAGATAGTCCTTTGGGGTGGACAAAGCCCGCCCACTGTGACATCAGCACCCCTTCGTCCAACCGGGAGGAAGGGCACAAAAGGCTTATTTGCATACCCTAGCCCCCTTGGGTTGGCTTAGCTCCTCTCCTGCCCAAGTTGGTCCTCTCCTGAGAAGGGGAGTTGTGTTCCCTCATCACTGCTCGGAACCAGAGTCAGACTTTTTTTGTTGGCTTAGTTGGGGACCACACTCAGAGACGCTCAGAGTTACTCCTGGCTCTGCACTCAGGAATCGCTCCTGGCAGTGCTTGGGGAACCAGATGGGATGCCAGGGAGCAACCCAGTTGGCCACGTGCAGGGTGCAGGGCAAGTGCCCTGCCTGCTGTACTATCACTCCAGACCTCAAACTCTTTTGTTTATTTGTTTGGGGGAGGGGGGCACACACAGCAGTGCTCAGGGCTTACTTCTGGTTCTGGACTCAGGGGTGCCAGGGATGAAACCCTGGTCCCTGTGGGCAAGGCAAACAACTCCCCCTCTCTCTGGCTTCTCAACCTCTCTTTTCATCCTAGGGGCTAACAAGACCCAGAACCAGGAAAGACAGGGGTCCCGAGGAAGGTAGGTCTGGCCAGTTGACCGGCAGCTAAGATTAGGGTAGTCCCCATGTAGTCAAGTGGTCGAAAGGATCTCAGAATAGTTTGTGGGCTTTGGTGCCTTCCTCATGAGTGAAATAATATTGTGAGAGAGGATGTTTAATCCTACTTCTAGTTCTAAGAGACTGAGAGGATACTTTCTGATTCCAACTCTATGTTCTCATAATGATGCCAAAATTCTAGATCATCTGAGAAGTTTGGAAAATAATGAACTTAGAAGGGCCAGGGAGATGGGTCAAAGATCTAGAGTGCAGGTGTATGTGTGGGAACCTGGGGGCAGATCCCAGGCACCACTGGGAGTGGACAGTGAGCACAGCCAGCTCTGTTCTTCCCTAAGCGAGCTTCAGTTTCGATGTGGGGCCCGCAGCAGGGGCGGATGCAGCAGATGCCCGGTCATCCAGTAAGTACTTACTGAGCACCAGGACCAGGGGACAAGCATGAGCAAAGCATGCGGTCCCTCCTCCCTGCAGATGACAGTGGCTCTGGCACTTTTTACTCATCATTTACCGCAAAGGAAACAGGTCTAGTCACCAACATGTTTTTTAGTCAGACACAAACCTGCAGATCTCAGTCTCCTGCCCACCGTTTTCTCTCAGCCTTTGGTCTAGGCATTTCCCTACCAGCAGCCTTATTCAGTCCATCCAAAGCTGGACTGGGGGTTATTTCACTCAAACTGGTTCCTGTTCCAGAATTACCAACAGGTTAATACAGCCTTCTCGGAGGGCTGGCACGTGGCTCAGTGAAAGAGCATTTGTCCTATGTGAGGAGGCCTGGGCTCATCCCTGGCACCAGGAAAAGGAAGGGAAGGATGGAGGGAGGGAGGAAGGAAGAAAGAGGGGGAGGGAGGGAGGAAGGAAGGAAGAAAAGAAGGAGAGAGAAAGGAAGGAAGGAAGGAAGGAAGGAAGGAGAGAGGAAGGAAGGAAGGAAGGAAGGAAGGAAGGAAGGAAGGAAGGAAGGAAGGAAGGAAGGGAAGGAGGATGGGAAGGAGGGAGGGAGGGAGGGAGGGAGGGAGGGAGGAAAGAAGGAAGAAAGGAAGGAGAGAGAGAAAGGATGGAAGGAAGGAAGGAAGGAAGGAAGGAAGGAAAGAAGGATAGAAAGGAGGAAGGGAGGGAGGGAGGAAGGAAGGAAGGAAGGAAGGAGAGAGAAAGGAAGGAAGGAAGGGAGGAAGGAAGGATAGGAAGGAGGGAGGGAGGGAGGGAGGAAGGAAAGAAGGAAGGAAGGAAGGAAGGAAGGAAGGAAAGGAGGGAGGGAGGGAGGAAGGAAGGAGAGATAAAGGAAGGAGAGAGAAAGGAAGGAAGAAGGAAGGAAGGAAGGATAGAAGGAAGGAAGGAGGGAGAGAAAGGAAGGAAGGAGGTAAGAAGGAAGAAGGAAGGAAGGAAGGATAGAAGGAAGGAAGGATAGAAGGAAGGAAGGAGAGAGAGAAAGGAAGGAAGGAGGTAAGAAGGAAGAAAGAGAAATAAGGAAAGAGGAAAAGGAAAGGAAGAAAAAGAAAGGAAAGAAAGAAAGAAAGAAAGAAGGAAGGAAGGAAGGAAGAAAGAAAGAAAGAAAAAAAGAAAGAAAAGAAAGAGATTTCTTCAGAAGAAATGTAAATGCTCTGAACTTCGCTAGTGTTCCACGCATCCACCCCAACCTTGGGACTGAGGAAAGATAGCCTAATAGTGTAGGTAAAGGTAAAGGCCTTTACCTTTAAAAAACAGTGAAGTAAAAATGCTTCCACTTTTTCAGGGCCATGTGGTGGCAGGGATTAAGCTCAGGACTTCCCATATGCTACACAAGGGTCATCTCCCCGTCCTGCCCTCTGCCATACTGGACATTGCGAAAGCAGGGCAGGCAGAGGCCCTTTCCTGCTCACGCTTCCCACACACCCCGGGACGCACCCCCAGGGCAGTCAGTCAGGGAGCTGGTGATGTAGACAGTACAGGGGCTAAGGTACTTGTCTTACATGCGGCTGAGCCTGGTTCAGTCCCTGGCACTGCATGATCCCCAAGCACAGAGCCCCCAAGCTCTGCTGGGTATGGAACTGAAAAGAAAGCTACCCCCTCTCCCCCGCCAAAAAAAACCCTACATCCTCTGAGATGCAGACGCCCTTGCTAGCCTGCTTTGCAGTAGACATGAGGGCTTTTTGTAGGAAGACTGTGATCAGACTAAGTAGAATTCTGAATCTCAAGACAAGAACAGCAACTGCAATGACGGGATGGTGAAGAGCACTGTCATAGGAGTCAGAGAGGTGAAGCCGGAATTCCCGTGTGAGCCGAGTGCAGTCATCCGTGCTGAGCTGGGAGCCTGTCGGAGGCCTCTGACCTTAGTCCTTCCTTCCAGCCTCCCCTAGAGCACTCAAGTCCTCTCCCTCTCCGCGTAGCTAGGGGGCATCTTCCCTCAGGTGACCACCTCCCCAGAGCAAAAAGAGCCCAGGGTCCTAGGGTCTGCACATCCCAGCCCTCAGACCACCAGGGGAGACGCTGCCCTTCCCTGGTGCCGGGAGGCAGGCCTGGCTTTCCCTCTGATGCGATGCCACCTACTGGCCTGAGCGGGAGCTGCACCCACTGTACTCCTGGGACCCAGAGGGTTGCATCCACGGCAATCAGAGGGTCTGAGGGGAATGACATGGTGTGTGTGTGTGTGTGTGTGTGTGTGTGTGTGTGTGTGTGTGTGTGTGTGTGTGTGTGTGTGTGTGTGTACGCTCATGCTGGTTGGTTGGATGTAAAGCAGGATCTCAGTGTTTCTTCACTCAGGAAAAGGAAGAGTTCTTTTGTCTTCTGCTCTCCCCTCCTCCTCCCTCCCTCCTTCCCTCACTCCCTCCCTCCCTCCCTCTCTCTCTGCCTCCTCTTTCCCTCTCTCTCTCCCTCTCCATCATTTTCTCCCCTTCTCTCTCTCCCCCTCTCTCCCTCCCACAGACTGGTGGAAGTGATAACCAGAACTACGAGAGAAGCAGTGAAGTGAAGACAGAGTCCCTTCCCTTTGGCGGAGCTGTTTGTTGGGGGTGGGGAGTCTCACAGGAGGCTCAGGAGGCCCAGGGCCCCTCCCTAGTCCAGCGGCTCAATTAGGGGGTCTGAGGACTCAGTACTGCTTGGTCCCTGTGGTGACAGGAGTCACTCAGGATACCTGGCCATTGTGGGGGGGAGGGGGGAGCAGGGCTGGGGGTCTCCAAGGCCTTTACAAATAAATGCTCAGAGAACCATGTGGTACTTGGCATTATGCAGGCCAGCACCCTGCCCCTGCACCAGCTCTCTGGGGTGCCTTATAAGAAGGCTTTAATTTCCTTCTCCTCAGAACTGCCAGGACTGTGTCCCCTCCTGAGCCTCAGCAGCTGTGAGAGTAAACACGTGTCCTGTCAGGAGAAGACCCAGACTGGGCAGGTCTGGAACCTAGGGATCACCCCAGCAAGAGCAACTCAGAAAGTTCTAGAAGTTTCATAATCCAAGAGTGTGTTTTTCTCACAGATGTCCTTCCACACATCAGAGGAAAACACAAACACCCCTTGATCTCCATCCAGGGGGTCAGAGAGAAGAATTCTAACCCGATCTACTGGGCCTGTCTGGGTCCCGTCATGTCTGTCATTGGTTCTGTTTTAGAAGTTTCATGGCCATGGTACTGGAGTAATATAGTACAGTAGGTAGGGTGCGTGCCTTGCCCACAGCCAACCCAGGTTCGATCCCCGGCACCCCGTATTGTCCCCCGAGGACTGCTAGGAGGGATCTGTGAGTGCAGAGCCAGGAGGAACCCCTGAGCACAGGGGGAGTGGCCCCAAAACAGAGGTCCATGACCCATGTCACAAATAAGGGGGGTGAGAGGCAGTGATGCCACAGAAATACAGATGTATGGAGGCAAAATTCTGTCTGATTGGAAAGGAACCTGGGAACAGGTGTTCCAGCACTCGTGCCTCTCACATAAAGAGCCTGGTCCTTCAAAGAAGAGGCCTGGCAGTGCCTCTGCCCCTGCCCTGCCCTGCCCATGGGACCCAGTACAGTCACAGGGCACACACCTACAGCATGTCTGTGTCAGGCTTCCAGACTCAGTACCACACACACACACACACACACACACACACACACACACACACACATACACAGGTGGGATGGGCTACTTCCCAGAGCACTGCACATGTAACACACGTCCCCTCCTGGGTCTGAGCTGCCCTCAGATTCAAGTTTCCACATACAGGAACAAAACTGAGTGGGTGTTTTCTTTTTTTCCAAAGCAAGAAAGGGAAAGATGGTCAGCCAGCTGTGAGTTTCATCCTCAAAAAATATGCTACTTGGGACTGGAGCAATAGCA